ATATTTTGTTTTACCCACCATCATGCCCCAAGTTGAACAAAAAATTCTGATCAATACAAGAGTAGCTACCAGTCTGGCCACCATTTTTGATTTCATTTCTTTAAGTTGCATGCTCAATCCTTTTTTGGTTGCACCTTTTTGTCACACCTAAGGTGTTTTTGACTAGATTCAATGTCATATGATAGAATGCAGGGTCATACCGTAAGTATTGTGAGTAGTGAGTTTGGACAGGATGCCAACTCAAAGGGGTGGGGGTTCCAATTACTCGATTGACTAACAAACTAGGTGGGGTTGGGGGTGCTGAATTTATATGTTGCAAAGAGTGTAATCAAACATTGGTACAGCACTTGTAGAATGCTTGTCTGTTAACTCACTTACACAAATGTATTTTATTTATATACAGAGAGAGATCCAGTCCAGAATTGATACCTTTTTATTCAGTTTTGTTTTATTTGATTAATTCAATAAAACAAAAGCATCTAAAGAAGTGCATACCCAGATCACCAGAACCTTTGGTGCTGGATTTTGTTAGGGAAAAGAGTAACTTTGAAATTATCTTCAGCTTGTTTAGAAATGTTTTGCAAGTAACTTTATTAACTGTATAAAATTCTCCTGTAAACCACTTGAATAACAGTTATATTTACAATAACTCTTTCACTGCCATGTTTGCAGATAAAAATATTCTTCCAGTACCACATTTATTATTAGATACACAATATATTTACAAAGAGGAATTAGCTTTTAGTATTGATGATATAAAAATGCAAAACTTAACAATGGTTAACATCACTAAGTGAAACAAAGGTTATATATATTGTGTTCTGTACTTATGTCCATGCCATTCATCTTGGGAAGAACTGTATGTGTTCATGGCAGTGAGAGAGTTAAAAACGCGAGTGGAAACAAAATATTAAATTCTGCAATTTTTCTTTGAAAAAAAAAAAGGAATATTATTGTAATATTCTAAAATCACAGGTATGTTTATGGTTTTATTGAAACCTTAAAATATGCTTAAAGCTGACTTTTAAAAGAATATTCTTCGACATCAACTATGTTTATAAATACATTCGCCTAAACCAAAAGATGGGTGCTTTTAGCTCGGTGTTTCAGTAAAAAAAAAAAAAAACACCCTACAAGACTAAAAGAGTATAAAAACAGTGCAGGAAAAAAATAATATTTTCTATAATGGAAATATTTTAACGATGTACCTGTCTTTATTGCATTGGCTTGCAAGACAATGATTTTTTCTGATACACTGTCCATTTGTTCACATGCTTTGCTCTTTGGTGAAGAACAAAGAGCAGACGTCACATCTGGAGGAGTTGAGACGCAAGGAAGAGGTGGTAAAGATCTCTGTTGAGGAGATGCTTGCGTATATTCTAAGGTATATGGTATATAAAAACTAGATCCTTCTTTCCTCGTTAGAGAATTCTCTTTCCAAGAAAAAAGACGACCTTTTGCCCTCTGAAACAGCATCTTTGTGAGTGAGTGTTTCCTACTTGATTTCTGAGTACTTGAATTAACCACATTTCCAAGACTTGATGCTTCTGGGTTTATCTCTGTACAAGATGGCATGACCAATTGGGTATCCGATGTCTTAAGAATCTGGTTCTCCACCCGATAATGCTGAGACTCGGGAACTTGCCCAGTCCTGATAGAAGCTGGAAGTTTACTTTCTTCCAGGCATATTCCAGAGTCAAAAGAATCTGGCTGGTCATGATTCGATGAATCTTTGAAACACACAGATTCATAGATATGCTCTGATTCAGCAGTTTTTTTAAATGCTTCATCATCATCTACTGGTACCTAAAGAATGAATTCACAGAGTGACAACAAAGTACTCTTTGCATGAAAATAAAAACGTCACAATGCCTTTACAATAATTCCTAAAATACACGATCAATAATATGTTAAGACACTGTGGTTCTTTACATCAAAATCAAGTAAGATACAGAACCTGTGAAACCAAAAAAAAAACACAGTTTACACAGTGCTTTGTGCATATACATACATCACATCAGCCTCATGCCTTAGTTTACCTACTACTCCATGCACACAAACACAGCATACACATAATTCTTAGCATCAAAATTCAGCTTACATACATATACTCTACTTGAGTGAAAACTCATGGCATTTGGCAAAAAAACTGTTTCAGATCTCAGCTCATATAACATGATTCACATATTATTCAGTACCAATAGTTTCAGTTTACTTAGTATCTTAGAACTCAGTTAACACAAGTATCAGCATACATACAATATGTGTATTAACTCCATTTCGTGACCTTGCTGTCTCAAAATTCAGTTTACATAGAGTTGATCTCTTGTTCTGTGTTTCAAAATCTAGTTTACATGACCTTGCTGTCTTGCTCTGTTTCAAAACCCAGTTTACATGACCTTGCTTTCTTGCTCTGTTTGAGAACCTAGTTCACATGACCTTGCTTTCTTGCTCTGTTTGAGAACCCAGCTCACATGACCTTGTCTTCTTTTTCTCAAAACAGTAGTTACCATTTAGAACTAGCATCACAGTAGTTACCATTTAGAACCAGCATCACAGTAGTTACCATTTAGAACCAGCATCACAGTAGTTACCATTTAGAACCAGCATCACAGTAGTTACCATTTAGAACCAGCGTCACAGTAGTTACCATTTAGAACCAGCGTCACAGTAGTTACCATTTAGAACCAGCATCACAGTAGTTACCATTTAGAACCAGCATCACAGTAGTTACCATTTAGAACCAGCATCACAGTAGTTACCATTTAGAACTAGCATCACAGTAGTTACCATTAGACCAGCATCACATAGTTACCATGATGCTGGTTCTAAATGGTAACTACTGTGATGCTGGTTCTAAATGGTAACTACTGTGATGCTGGTTCTAAATGGTAACTACTGTGACGCTGGTTCTAAATGGTAACTACTGTGACGCTGGTTCTAAATGGTAACTACTGTGATGCTGGTTCTAAATGGTAACTACTGTAATGCTGGTTCTTATGACACAAAATGCAGAATTTCTAAATAAAAATTTTTTTTCCTCTTATCACACTGCAAAATATGAATACTAAATGTGATTCACTATCAAAATCAAAGTGTAAAGATTTTAAACAACCTTTAAAAATATAAACCAATACATATCTCATGAAAACTAATCCATTATATATATACAGTAATATGTACACAAAATATAATACTGAATTCAAACATCACAATAAAATTGTAATGTATGATTTTGATTAACCGAGTCTTTCTCAATATGATGCGACAGTTACAACCAAAAAGTCGACAAAAGATTCTCATTACAAAACACTTTACATTAAGATAAGTTACATACACATCTTGTACAATATATCTATGTTTCTGTATTTTATGACAGTGATGTGTCTATATATTATTTTGTACCACCATTAATAAAAAAAGTCACATTTTTTACTCAATTTTTAAGCTACAAAAAATGGTTTACCTTACTTACAATTAGCCATAAAAAGGTGAACATTATGCAAGTTCTGACATAATTTTCTTTACTTACCTGAGATATAGTTATAAAAATTACTTTCAAGATGGTGCATTACAACTGGTACTCAAAATTGCAGAATACAGCCTTCAGGAGGTTTATATACACAGGTCAAATTCGGAATACTTTTTTTTTTTCACAAATGCATCTTGCCAAATTTAAAATATTTTAAACGCACACTGAAAGTAATAATTACAGTTCAGATTTGAGGGAAAATACAACGTTATACTAATACACATACTATGTCCATCATTGAAGTGTTCTGGTACACATGGTTTTCCACTTTCACCTCCAATCTCATATTACTATACGGCCTTTTACTGTTGACAGAAGCTTTCTCTTTTCTTCTGTTTAAAGAAAAAAGGACCAATTTTTATTATTTAGTATGCTCTGATGAAACTGGTTTCATTTCTATTTGGTTGAAATATAAATCTGAACACACATATACATCTAAATTCTAATTTCAACTTGTAACTTTTTCACCAAGGCATAACACACACACACACACACACACATTTACACAATGGAAAATATTAAAACAACATACAAGACAATATTTGGA